CCGCGACCCGCCAGCAGCGGCCCCTTCCCTCCTGCGCGGGGGGAATTGTGGAGTTATGGAATGGTGGTGCTTGGAAAAGACCTTCCACATGGTCGAGGCCAACCGCAGGAGCGTAGGGGGCGTGTGGGGCACTGATGGGGCATGACAAGGTGTTAATGGGGGTCCCCTGCCTATGGGGGGCATTGATGGGAGCCCCCCATACAGAGGGTGTTAATGTGGGATGCCCTTCCATAGGGGGGCACTGATGGGGATGACAAAGTATTAATGGGGGTTCCCTATATATAGGATGTTAATGGGGATCCTCCTTGTCCTTCCCCATATACAGTGCATGGAGAGGGCTCCCCCTTTCCCACAGGCAGGGTCCTTATGGGGCTCCCCTTCCCCCTACGGGGAGCCCTAAGGGGCCTCCTTTTCCATAGGCAGGACACTGGAGCTCCCCCGTGTGCCAAGGTGCTTATGAGGCCCTCATATAGCAGAGGACTTTGGGGTTCCCCTTTCCCCTATGCAGTGTTAATAGGGCCCCCTCTGCCCTGCTGGGGGGAGTGATGGGTCCCCTTTCCCCAAACGGAGGGTGCTGAGGGGGGTCCCACATGTGGCCCCCCTACCCCATACATCAAAAAAAAACCAACAACCCCCCCCGCCAAAAAAAAATCTTATAAATCACTATCTTTAAAGAAATAAAATAATACACAATAAACCGTGCACGTTCATCCCGCCCCAGCGTGGCAGTCAGTGTTCTGGAAGGTTCTGTGATGGCCGCGGCTTCCTGGCGCTCCACACGCATCCCAGCTGGGCAAAATAAGCTAGGGGGTTAAAACACAAACGTTAATTTGTTATTTTTTTTCTAGGTTTCCTTTTTCCTTAAGGTTTCTGGCACGTTTTCTCCTCAGGTTTTTCCACTGGGAGGGTGGCGGGCTCAGGCTCCCCTTGTGACGCTTCGCCCCGCGACGCCTGTGAATTAATTGGGGTGAATTAATGGTGTTGGGAGACTGCGGCGTTTATTCTCAGCACTTGACAATTTGTCTCCATGAAAGTTGGTGGTGCAACATCGCAGCAAGCAGTGCTTGTGTCCACTGCGGCCTTCGGGATCTGGAGCTGGTGGAGATAAACTTCCCGTTTTTCTTCCTTCAGAAACATATAAAAAAGCAAAGCAGCTTTCCTGCCTTCTCAACTTTTAATCATTTTCTTTGTTTCGGAGGAATTTAGGCTATAAAACTCATTAGCTAATCCAACAAAAAAAAAAAAAAAAAAGGGGGAAGGAAAAATCTGTCTGTGTTTTGGCAGGCTCTTTTTTAGGCAGTTAAAAGAGCTTTAATGCAGTCTAACAAGTTGAGTTCCTAACATGGGCTGCTAATTTTAGTTTTAAAGTGGTTGATTTTTCAAAAGAAAAACAATCTTTTCTTTCATCTCCGGGAAGCCATTGTAAGCCTTAAAAATGACTAAGTGATCACCAACTTGCAAAGGTGAGAAAAGACCCCAGTTTTAACTCTCATGTTCCACATCTCAGCCCCAATCTAGCACCGACTTTCCTCTGCATTGTGACCCCAGACGGAGGCCGCATCGGCTGTAAATTCAGCATTCTCTAGGCCTAAATCCGTAGGTGAATCTGCACGATCCATGTCAGCCTGCGATCCTAAGGCTGGGCGAGCGGAACGATACAGCCCTGGACTTGCCCATGTAGCCATAAGGATGTTTTTTTAGCTTGGGTAAGTGGGTTTTTCCTTAGCAAAGGGGGCTGAGGAGTATGGGAGATGCGGCGATAACTGAAGGGATGTCTTGGGGTGAAACCTTGGGTTAGAAGTCCATAAATATCTCAGCCCACCATAAAAGAAACAATATTTGTTTTTGAGAGAGGAGAGTGGCTGAGCTTGTGTTTGCCCAGAGATACTGGATGGATTGGGCTGGTCGGCGCTGCCAGCCTGGTTGGGTGACACAGAGGTGGTGTCATTCACACCTGTCTGCTGGAGGGACACAGTCATGGGATCCCACCTGGCCCATGGGATTGTCCTTGGCGGTGCCCCACAAATGCTCTTTTCCTTCCCCACAGGCCTGATGCTTTTGCTGGCCTCGTCTCCGAGTCCAGGACCAAACCCTCCCTTTCCAATCCCGAATATCTGGGTGAGCAGATGGGCAGCTGGAAAGCAAAGCCGTGGGCAGCAGCAAGGGCTGCGCGTCGCTCCAGGAGGGAACGCCGGGTGCAGGAGCTGGCGGCACAGCCATAGCGTCTTGCCAGGGAGAAACCAGCCTCGGAGGGGGGCCCGCGCCCCCCCCGGGCTGCTGGATGCGGGGCTGCGCCGTGAGCTCCACGCTCCTCCCATGCTGCTCGCCTGCCTCGGCGGGCACGCGGCCGGGCCAAGCTGCACCCCAGCATCTCACACCTCCCTCTGATCACAGAAAAATTTATTGGCAACATCTTTTGAAAAAAACAACATTGATTTTAAAGATTTCTCTGTGAGTCTCACAATCAGTACCAGCAGTTTAGTAACAGCAGCAAAAAATAATTCAAGTCAAGACACTGCAGAAAGCCCCCCCCCCTTTTTACATGAGCTGGAGACCCCAGGCAAGGCCGACACGGGGAGCTGGTCTCGCACCGAGGCCTTGGGCCCAGCACCCAGGGCCAAGGCACCAGCGAAATTCAGCTGCAAACCCGGAGGCGAGTCCTGTCCCGGGCACAAACGTGGGGCCACAGGAATCGGGGCTCTCCCTGAGACATCTCCCTTGCCGTGGTGGGACAGTTCCTGCTGGTGTGGCAGTGGTGGCTTGTGCCTGCTACATCTTCATTTCTGCCCATTTTTCTGCTATTTTCCCAGCCTTTTTCTTTGAGCAAAGCCCTCCAGACCTGAGCCTGCCCTGGGCAGTCGGAGCTGGCTCATTAGCCCCCTGCAATGCCACGAGGGTCGCAGGTGCCAGGCGCTCGCTGGCCTTGCACGTGTCTTCTCTTCCACGAAGCAACTTGTCCTCGTGGTTTGCACCAGCACCCCCCGACCTGCTCCATCTGCCCCGCTCCGTCCTGTCCGTCTCGGAGAGTGACTGGCACTGCCCTGAGAAGGGGCTCAGGAAGGGTCTCTCCTTGCTCTTCCCAAGAACTGCTGCCTCCCTGGAGCAGGCACGAGGCTCTGGCTGGGGCTGTGGGACAGCAGAGCAGCATTTAGTGGGGAGCCAAGAGCAGGGTTGGGAGCCTCCGACCCCGCTGCCCTGGACACTCTGGCCTCTCGGGGTTGGGGGTGGCCAGCAGCAGGAGCACCCTGAGCAGCAGATGTGGCTGGGGCAGCGCGGGCCCGGCAGCAGCGACCCGGCGCCCTGCACAGCAACCTGAGAACAGCCGGCACCGCCTGTAGGCGAGGGCAGGACAACAGCAGAACCCAGTCTGGAGGTCATCAAAGAGGCAGGTGGCGGCGATCGGCCATCGCAGGCTGAAGAAACCCAGTGCCCTCCCTGCGCTGCCCCAAAGGGCACTTCTGCAGCTCAGGTTTTGGCTGCCCCGTCAGCTGCCATCACCCCCATCGGCAATTCCTGCAGCAGCTGCCTCGACCCTGAGCTCTCCATCGCACTGAAACTAATCGAAGCTAAAGCGAGGTGGGAATCTCTCTGCAGAGCGGGAGCGTCACAGGATGAGTATCTGCTTGGATGACGTGAACGGCTTCATGGAGGCCTCCAGGGCAGCCCGGTAGTCCTCGAGCGGGACCTCAGTGCAGGCCGGCGCGCCGAGCTGGCCCCGCTGGACGAGCTCGCACAGGCTCTGCATCATGCTCTGCAGGCCGGCCTTGTCTGCAAAGGATGGGACCGCTCTACTCCTGCCAGCACCCACGCTTGCAAAGAGCCAGAGCCACCAAGAAACTCCCGGGCAAAATATTTGCCAACACCCGAACAGGTCCCGGTGGCACCGGCTCCGCAGCTGCTGCAGCGCAGGAGGGACAGGTCCGCCACGAGCACGTCCACCCACCGACACCCAGGCCCGCGGCGCCCGCTGCCAGCTTACTGTGCATTTGGTCCTTCTTCCACTGGGTCATCCAGAACCCGCGGAGCTTCACGTCCTTGAAGATGAAGGCACTCTGCGAGACGGGGAGACACTCGTCACAGGGCGGTTCTGTCCCACGCGGGCCAGAAGGCCACATCCCCCCCCAGGGTATTTCTAAGCTCTTGCAAGTTTGACAGTGGTTGAAAGGTGGCAACGAGGATCTTCAGCTCTCCCGTGAGAGCTTTAATTTGTGCCAAATTCGCTTTAGCAAGTTCACGTTAATGAAACACCTCGCGCGAGCCCAGGGTCTCCACGGCACCGCGGCTCGGGGCTGCTACAGGCCCACGGTTAGAGGGGCTCCACGTTGCTAGAACGAAGCTAAAGCGAGCGGGAGCCCGGCGGGCTCCTCGGCGGGGGCGGGGCAGCTG